CCCCAGCCAACCTCCTTCCTTAACAAGGGGCAGCAGAGAGAAAGAGCATGAGGGGACTGGACAAGTCAAGGCAACACCATGATTCTGAGCAAATTGGTTTGTGTGCTGAATATTTCAAGATGTACGCACTGCCTTAATCAATTTATGCACTTTCTTCTGGTATTAACTTAATTACTTCCATATGCCCCACCTCAAGTTTCCATATGCCACATGGGGACACACTCATCCCAACTAGAAGTGATTTCAGCAATGCATTTCACATGTTTCTTTTATCCGCCAACCATTTCAGAGCTTTTTAATAATACTTTCTAACAGCACAAGTATTTTTTCAATCATTCCACAAATATTTCCTGAGTGCCTACAAGGGTTTCCGGGCACCATGCTAGCTAGACACTGAAGATATGACAATGGACGTAAGGAGATTGCTCTTTCCCATTGAACCTAGGGCCTAAGAACCCTGAATTTTAAATTCAGTCTGTCAGTGCATGGAAACACCAATGATCAGCAGCATAAAGAAAGAAATACAAGGTGTAGAAAAGGTTTGGCTCTTCCCCTTGAAGAGTTTTATGACTCAGAGCACAAGGGAAACAAAATCATTTGCATTTCAAGTATCCTGGTTCGTCGAGCAACTACACAAGGTTCTAGAGTTGACAGCATAACCTGGGATAAATCACCTGTGATCAGGAGAGGGAAGAACAGAATGGCAGGATCTTTATTTTCCCAGAATGCTAACCCCTTGTTTGATTGGTCCCCAAACAAGTCCATGGATTCTCCCATTAGGATTTCTTAACCTGAGAGGTAAATACCATAACTGCACCAGAGATCATGTAACTTTAACTAGTTAACTAGTTAAATAATAAGAACCTTACCAGAATGACTGGGTGGGTTTAAGGTCTAGTCCTAAGGAAGCCAGCAAGATCAAATCTAACATTTCACCAAGACAATGTCCCCCAGTATCTGACAGGTGTGATTTCATGATTGAGGTCCATGAAATTATTGTAAGTATCCACAACTGATATTTTTCAAAATCTCAATGAGGTTCTTAGATATAGAAAAAGAAACTGCAGGTGCGTGAGAGATGGAATTTGGGGAAACATTGATTGATGACGTGTGGTATCCAGTGTTCAAAGGCAGTCCTGGAAGGAGCCTCTACAAACCTTCTGAGCTCAGGTGGGATGTGACAAAATAACCAAGAAGCTGGCCATGGACTTACCCACGCATGTTGGAAAGATGTCTTCGTTGTTGATCTGGACCTCGATCCAATCCATAAGCAGGTTCATGTACTGGGGAGCGGGCAGTGCGGTCGGCTTCTTATACTTGAGGTCATCCTGCCACCGATACTCATATTTGGGGCCCCCTGACATCACAGGGCAGGTCCTCTCGGTGCAGAACTCGCAGATGGTGCCGTAGATGAGGTTGATCCGATTGAAGAAGTCCACCACGTGCACGGCCACCCAGTCGTTCTGGTCCTCCCCGCTGGGCAGCTGCACCGCCGCCTTCAGGTCCACGCCTGAGTTGAGGGATGCCTGAGCCCGTTTGTGGAGCTCAAACCTCTGTGTGCCAGGTTCAAATTTCCTCTTGGGCCGGAAGGTCTTGTCCTTGTTGAACACCTGCTTCAGAGCTATGGACATGGTCTTCTCCTTTTCTTCCTTTGTTTTGCAGGAAGCAAAAAAGCACCTGGAACTTCTCAGTGAGAGATCACAACCCAACAGAGTTTTCCACTGCCAGCCCTCTGGCCCCAGTCTTGCGGCCTGCAGCTTCTGTCACTTTTAAATGGCCCCTTCCATCTTCCTCTCGGGTGATTTCCAGGGGAATCTCATGTTTCTTCCTAAAGGAGAGAAAAGAGTCTCATAAGTGCCCAGGTTCCATTTAAGAAATGACAAAGGCTTAGACCAGATTTCCACTTTGCATTTAGCTGTGCCCACTTCCATCCAGGTATGTGGATGTGGAGGTTAAGCCAAACCCCTGGGAATCTGTATTTATGATCTTGGTCAAGTCTCTGGTTACTCCTCCCTGTGTGATCATAGGCCCAATGGACCTCTCCAAGGTGTTATGGATGAACATGGTAGTCAAGATAGATAACAAATCCATCATGCCATGAATGATTAAACAAAGAGGCATCTGTCTGTGCCTTTATCTGGTGCAAGGTGCTAAATTGGGGGAGGGGTACACAAGAGTTTTGAAATGGGCACAGGAAGTCTACCTGTCTATTTTCCAACCCAGAGCCCCATCAGGACTCCTGCCTTATATTGTAGGCATATTAAATGGTTAGAACAATGCTTCTCAAATGTTAATGTGGGATCTTGTTAAAACGCAGGTTCTGACCCAGTAGGTCTGAGATGGCACCTAAGAATCTGCACTTCTTTCTTTTTATTGTTTTGTTAATCCTCACCCCTTCACCTGAGGATATTTTCCCATTGATTTTAGAGAGTGGGAAGAAGAGAGAGAGAAAGAGAGAAAGGGGGGAGAGAGAGAGAGAGAGAGAGAGAGACAGAGAGAGACAGAGAGAGAGAGACACAGAGAGAGACAGAGAGACAGACATTGATGTGAGAGAGACACATCAATTGGTTGCCTCTGGCATGTGCCTCAACCAGGGCCAGGGATCAAACCTGCAACCATGTCCATGCCCTTGACCCAGAATCAAACCCAAGACCCTTCGGTGCACAGGCAGGCACTCTAACCACTGAGTAACACTAGCCAGGGCGGAATCTGCATTTCTAACAAGCTCCCTGGTGGTGCCAAATCTACTGGTCCATGGATGATGCTTTAACTATCAAGGCCTGATCTAAGAGATCTTATTAGAAATGCAGACTCTTGGGCCTCCTCCCAGACTTAGTAGATCTAAGTCTGCATATTAGTAAAATCTAAGAAGTATATGCTTTGAGGAACACTGGGTTGAAGGGGTGCCTGATTGGCTGGGGAAAGAGATGATTAAATAAACTTTCATTTGGTGTTTTGTTGGCATCATAAACATAGTTTTCTGTTGAGTTTGCATATGTGTGTGTGAGGAAGAGAATAACCCAGAGACTCACTGTTTTGAATACAATGGCCTTCACAGATGGTGACAATGACCGGGTATTTTGATCCTGAATGATTTGGACAGCACAGCACCCTGAAGCTAGGAGATTCCCAGTGAATACCTTTTCATAAATACCAGATAGAAAGTGGCTGCTGAAAATGCTGCTACAGCTTCATGCAGAAAAGCTTCTTGCACTAAATAAAATGTAGTGTTGGCAGTAACAGTCATTATTCTCTGTCCTTGTTGTCTCCAGGAAGAAAAGAACAAGTCATAAGTTTTGTTCCCTAGGTAGAAACTATAAGCACATTCTATATTATGAATAGCACCCACTACAATGCTAGTTCTCAATAAATATGTGAAACCAATTGTTCTTTTAACCAATAAACATTTACTAAAGGCCTTTTATGTGGCAGACATGGGGCTAAGGCAGAAAGGATACAGAGCAACTAAAAACTTGGTCCCTTCCCTTTGAAAAATCCACAAAGTGATGTCTAGCTTTGAGGTTAGTCTATTGGGTTTTGCTTTTTAAGCTACAAAGTTAAAAGCACCGATATAAATAGTGATACGATTCCTGCCCATTGTTACCCAGGTTAGAATGAAAAAAGATGATAATGAGGGCTTGTGGAAAGAGAAACATGGAAATCCAAATAAACAGCATAAAATTGACAGGAGCTCCATATGTTCTCCATATTTCCTGCTTAATAGATCAATTATAGAAATAAAACATGATGTGCACTATAAAAATATGCAGGAGAATTCAGCCGGGCTCTAAGGGAATGTTGACAAGGTAACTAAGCAACACTGGCAAGGAAAGTTCTTATTTTTCTTTTCCTATTGATGTGTTCTGCCTTATTTGTTAAAAAAAAAAATGAGAGTTCTTGCCAAGGATAAGGAAGAAATAAAACAAATCTCCCATTCAGTCCTGAGAGATCCATCTTCTCTAAAGAGACCTTGGTGGCACAGAAGGGTGGCAGGACAGAGAGGAAAGGGACTAACGCTGATATTAGCTGGGAAGAAAGAGGATGAATATCTCATCTGTTGGATGAAGGATTCCTCCTGGCAGGGCCACCTGGCAAGGCAACTCCCTACAGGAAGGCCATAAGAGAAATGCCCCAGAAGTACCCCTCATGAGGGAGCTACCATGTCATGGTCATTGCTGGGGCTCCAGGGGCTACAGTGGTGCCTGGTACAGAGCCAACTTCACCGAATGGTTGCCGAATGAATGAATGAATGAATGATAGTGAATGAAGAACCCTTTGTATAAAAGTGAAACCGCAAAAGTGAAATGCAATTAGACCTCCTGTCTTTAGTTCTTTGGTGGCTCTATCTCAACTGTAAGCCCAGCTGCTGGGCTGCTCTGAAGTGTCCCTTCCTAAAAGATCTAGGCATCTGTCCAACATCTCTTTCAAATGGGCCATTCCTCTCCACTGGTACCTAAAATTTCCATCTCTTCAAAATTGAAGAATGACTAGTCTGATTTCCCATCTTCTCACTATATTTTTCTCTTTATGGCTGGAACAGTCTGTGGAACCTTCTTCTCATACCCCAAACATTGAATAAAAATAGGTTTATATTTTAAAGTATGTGTGTGTGAATAAAATGAACATCATCTGACCTTCCCAGGATCCAATAAAGGATTTGCCTATAATGGTATACTAATGCTGCTGTAAAAAAGAAAGAACTCTTACCATTCGCAACAGCATGGATGGACCTGGAGAGCATTATGCTAAGCGAAATAAGCCAGTCAGAGAAAATAAATATCACATGATTTCACTAATTTGTGGAATATAATGAACAACATAAACTGATGAACAAAAATAGAGCCAGAGCCAGAGAAGCATCGAAGAGACCATCAAACTTCAGAGGGAAGGTGGGGGTGGGATGGGGTGGGGGTGGAGGTAAGAGATCAACCAAAGGACTTGTATGTATGCATATAAGCATAACCAATGGACACAGACACTAGAGGAGTGAGGGCATGTGCTGGGGGGGGGGGGTGGCTGGGGAAAAGGAGACATATGTAATACTATATGTAATACTTTAAACAATAAAGAATTTTTTTAAAAAAGGATGTGCCTAAAAATGTGATTCTATCAACATTTATGTACCGTTTTACTCCGGCCTACTTATTAGGCGCTATCTTTGCTCACAAGGCAATCCCCAAATTGGAGATTCCTGCCTAAGAAACAGCCTTGCAATTTTTTTTTTTTTTGTCCAACTAATCTACATCCTCAATTTTGAGCTGCCATATTGTTATACTCTAGATCAGTTAGTGCTGGAGGCTAATTCCAGCAGGTCATAAATGCAAGAAGTTCATCAAAAGGTTGGTGAACCTTGAGGCTTCAGCAGGGCTGAAGATACATATTATTGCCTGCTGGCCAAACAGCTGAATGGCCGAAAGCATTTCCCCAAACCTGAAAATCTACATGTTATTACCTGCTGCTGAACAGCTGTAGGTAGTTCCCCCAACATAATACTTTACTGCTTACCAAACCTTACCTTTGATATGTATATCTGCTTTACTTTAGGGCAAAATGTGTGACTAAAACGCCCTGGAGACAGAGATTCAGAGAAAGCTTGGTTATTAGAACTAAGCTTTCCCTGGCTCCCCCATGTATTCCAAATTTATATTTCTAGTCTCTTTATTAATTTACACACAGCCCCTTTTCCAAATTCCTTGAACCCTTATAGATTCTGAGAACAACCCTGGCAAGATAGCAGAAATACTACGGCCTCACTTTAACCTTGAAAGACAGACATGATTGAAGAGCTTTAAAAAGTCCATGTTATTTCTTAACACAGATGAAATCAGGACAAATAGGTGGAACCCTAAGAAGTCTGCCACATGACCTTCACTCCCCCATCATCTTTTAGCTCTTCAATGTCCATTCAAGTTGTATTCTCACTGTTTCATTTACATATTTATTTTGTAGGACATTTTAGCATTAAAAATATGAGTAAATATTCCAAAGATAAAAACATGGCATGCAACCTTGCACAGTGCAGCAGCAGAACAGGGGGGAGTGCTCAGTGCACAGGTGTCTACGTCAGAGACCCACAGGGATTCTCCCTTTCACAAACTCAGCACTGCCATTCAGAAGAAGACACTGTGGTGACAAAAAGTGGAAGGGTAGAAAGGGTGTGATTTATTTGGTGTGGTTTCATTCACTACCTACTCATTTTCTGCTGAAGAAAACACAGATTAAAAAAAAAATGTTTTATTAATGAACATAAAATTCCCTTAAATAAAGGCCTTTCTGAGGCCAAGTGACTGGCTTGGATTCCCAATAATAAGGAAGATGGCAAACCTTTGGTCCACACGTGGATAGGATGGATCCACTGTTACCACAGTTTTAAAAATAAATAGTGAAGGTAGAATTGTTATAAGTGCTCAGTTGACCCACTTATAATTTATGAAAGACATACTAATTATTTTAATAATTTTTTCAAAGAATAGAAAACTCCAAGTTAGTTATCACTTACCCTATTATTTCCAGATCTTTGGACTGGCTAGAAAATATTTTTGTGTTTAAAAAACAACACATGATTTGAGAACACAATACCTAAGGCAAGTGGGAGAATGGAGTGTGGAGAGGGTACTACAGATAAAGATAATGTAACAGCTTAAATTAAAACAAATTAAGGCAGAAAAAAAGATGTTTTTAGTTTTTCAAGCACAGGTATATACTATCGCTCAGAACCTCCGTCTGATACATGGGAGAAAGGTCACTGTCAATTACCATTCCCTTCTTTCTCTTTGAGACAGGGTATGCCAATTCTTTCTCGGAAAAGTCTGGCTTTAAAGGAAAAAT